CCAGTAGCGTGTTTGCTCCTAGTAGTAAGGCCAGGAGCCCCTAGTAGTGTTCTTTTTCTCTGTTCCAGGTTGCACGGCGTTTGGCCGCTGCACGACGGCTGTCGCAACTCTGGCACGCCACCATCGATGTGGAGGTCGATTCGTTGAAGGCACAAGCCGACGTTTTGTCTGAAACGCAGGCGTCCGCAAAGGGCTTGGTGAAACGGGCACGTCCTTGTGCCAGGCTTCATCAGCTGTTGATGTCTTGAATGCGACAAGTGGACACTTGGCCAAGAGTGGGACGGCCAGAATTGATTGATCAGACAACTGTCGGGCAACTCACGCTCTACTTACGCTCTTTGTCGTTCACTTTGCAACGTTGTGTCAATTTGAGCTTAAGCTCTCAGAAAAGATAAGGAAACATGATGCAACTGACTATAAAAGAGAGCAACATAATGTTTTGCGATTCTTTTCCCGGATCGCCTCAGCTCTCCAAGGCAACTTTACAAGCTTCGAGGATATTTTGACGGAAGAGTTGCTTAGCACTGCCCAATAGTTTCAATAGTTTGCCGTTTAGCGCAAAATAACCTGCATGCAAAAGACGTGAGCTGGTGGATTGACCAGGCTAGACTCGCAAGGGGTGGCTCCTGCAGAGGGTGGCTTGAACATTATATCCTTCGCATCGCCTAGTGTGACTCAGCACAACTGTTGGACAGGACTGGTCAAGGGAAGATCAGCATGCTCATCGATGGTATCAGTTATATATCTGTCTATATATAGTTATATACTGGTTACCAGACATTTGCTAGACATCTTTAGCCGTAAATCAAGCTAGACACTTGATGAACAGTTGGTGATTGAGATAGGAAACTATAGATAGGACAACTGGTGTGAAACCATGAAATCAGCAAGGTAAGCCTCGCACAGATTACCACCATCACGAGCTCGACGATGACTAGCACTTCCTCTACTGTCACCACTGGAACCAGCTTCTTGGACTTTGTACCTTCAAAAGGGATCACAACTTGACAACTTGAAGTCTTTTAAGAAGACCTGTAGTTTGCCTCATCTAACATGACCAACAAGTTGACCGTCATGACCATGTCAAGTGACGCAATCTATGACGTGCCTTGATGAGATTCTTCGAGGCACTTCATCTACAGCGACAAATACCAGCACGACCACCTCCAGCATGACGAGCACAACAACGAGCTCGACTACAACGACTGGGATTTGTCGACATCAACGACTATGTGAATCGCGAAGCAGAAAAAACATGCAAATCACGTGAAAGAAGAAACATGAAAGATTGGTATGTGAGGGTCAGACCACAAGCTGAGATCTGCAGGACAACCACAACCACAACAATTGAATACTGGCTTCGGTGGCTTTTTGCGAATGCAGATGACTTAGAGTTGCGCATATTATATTGCTGCGTGCAATGTCTGCGCTTTTCAAGCTGAGGTCACAAATGATGTAGACAATGTTTCCATCCCGGCTGACTTCGCACTGGAGAATTGGCAGGAACAAAGCGATTGAGCAGAAGAAGCTGTAACTGCTTCCTGATGTCTTGGACAAGCACCTATAGGTTGATGCCGTTCCCATCTCAGTCATCTGAGGATAACTTCACGCACATCTTGATCTACACTACATCAGAGTTGGAGGAACAAACAACACCCACCGTGCCTTTTCCACATTATATATATAGACAGTTGATAGACTCAGCCTGGTACTACTTATGGTACCACCAAGGTCATCTCAATCCAAGACCTGAATGCCTCCATTTCGGACCTCAACTTCATTGACTTGGACAGCAACAGATTGTTTGCATTGTTCCAGACTCGTTCCAAGATCACTGTAAACTGTGTAGCTTTGCCTGAAGAATCTTGAAGACAACATAATACATAATTTTACGGAATACATCATTCATCATCATTCTCATTCATTCAATACATCATTCTCAACAGCAGCTTTGCCTGGAGGACTTGGATGCTGGACAGTTTGGTGGGAACTTGAGCTGGTCAGAGCCAGCTGAAATCGACCTGGTGTTGCTCGGCGGAGCTTTTGTTCCAATATCGCGCCTTTGTTTCGGAGGATGTTGGATGGCCTGGCAACATAATTGGAAGACAGCATGACATCATGCGTGTGTCGACTCTTTCACCTTTGGGGAAGAGGCCAGTTTAGTAGGAACAAGTGCCACGCTACTAGTAACAGGTGCCTTACTAGTAGTAACAGGAAGCTATTAATAGTCCACACCTAGGCCCTAGGCATAGCTCTTGTATTGTCTCGGCATGTCTCAGCACTGGTCGAGCGCCATGCATCGCAGCAGCCGGCCTGCACCTGAGGCATCACTACAACGTCTACCTTGCGACATCTCCTGAAGGTGATGGCCGGACATCGGCGGGCCTGGCAAGGAGTTTCTCCAGAAATGAGCAATAGCGAACATTTTGTGGATTGCATGTTGAATCTTGCATGTGATCTGAACTATGTGTGTAAACAGGCGTTTCCTTCCTGCATGAACGATCCATATGCATTGCCTGTGCACTGCTGCTCAAGCATGCCAATAGTTTCCAGCGGCTCAGCCGCCTGACTTTAGGCTCCCTGAAAAAGTATTCCATCGGAGCCATGGACATGTACGAGGAGCGGCCCCCTGAAATCTTTACAGGGGGCTATTTCGACCAGGCCAACATTGTCAATCAAACCGAAGGGCTTCAAGACTTCAGGCGTCGACAAGAAGGTCATTTGATCATTGCAGATGATCGACCTTTGTTGGTCATGTCCTTCGGGCTCAAGTACCAGGGCCCCAACCCGTCGAAGTACAAAATAGAAGGCAAGTACGATATCCCTGTGGGCTTCAAGGTCATCATCAAGTGGGAGGAAGATGAGATTGTTTTCATGACCCGCCAGGGAACCTTTGGTCCAGAGTTTCAAATCGTCTACCTGCCACAGAGTCCCACTCCGGAAGACTTCACAATTTTTGAGTGGAACGCCAACATTGCAGAGATTTGGGATCAGTTCCTCACTGTGATTGAGGGCAAGGAGGACAGAGATATGAGACTCTTCAATCAAGGACCGTGGAGGACATTCGGAGTCACTAGAGATGAGGTCCAGATGGCTCTCAAACAGGGAACTGATCAGAAGACCATTGTGGATGGTATTTTGTACTGTGCAGATGGCATCGAGCCAGATTTGCAGGAGCACATGCGGTACCTGGGAGTGGATCCTGCTACAGATGAGAATATCCTTTGGATCTTCACGGCTTTCAAGGAAGAGCCCTTGCCGGCATACTTCTCTCAGTATGTCAAGGACGGGATGGTCTACTGGGTGGATGAACGCACCAGTGAAGCAACGTGGAAGCACCCGCATTACGACAAGTTCCGAAAGATGCTCCAGGTCGCTCGAAATCAGAAGCCTGTGCCTCACTGGAAGTCCATCATGGAGTTCAGAATAGAGTTCCTTTTGTCGAACATTTTCACCTGGGAAGCGGAGGCTTCTGGAGAGTTCCCTTTGGTGGAGACCGTTGACAATGTCATAGAAATGGCACGCATTTTTGGCGTGGATATCAAGAATGAGCCGTATCTTGTTCATGTACTCAAGCGTGCCTTGAGACACTATGGAAACTGCGTGAAAGAAAAGAGGAAAGTCAAAGATGTGGAAGATTTCCGCAACTTGATGCATCGGTACCGTGATTTGGTGAGCCAGTATGAGCAGGCAATGAGCATAGAGGAGAAGCGAGTTGCCAAGATGAAGATATGTGTCCAATGTGATGAGCGCGACGCGGTGCTTTTCTGCGATCAGTGCAAGGACTTCTTCTGCCAAGGCTGCTTCGACCGGCTTCACAGTAGAGGGCGAAGGCAAAACCATCGTCGAACATGGGTGGAAATGGGCATGTGCGCAGAATGTGTAGAAAGCATAGCTCTCTTTCATTGCGTGCAATGTGCTGACCTCTATTGTAGAGACTGCTTTCAGGAGTGGCATGTTCGCGGGGGCCGAAGGAACCACATTCCCATCATCTTGAGATCCTTCAATTCCCAGACACATCAGCTGCCCGAAGCAACTCCGGCCATGGGAACCGGAGCTGCCCAGATTCTGGCCAAGGCTAGAAGTCCATGGGTGGAATTCACGGATGAGAACAATGTCAAGTTGTACTACAACATCCTCACCACCGAGTCGAGGAGAGACAAGCCTCTGGCGGTCATGAATGAGCCAATTGAAGACAACAAAGGTGGAGGGATGAGTGCTGGTTGGTCAGGGACATGGGGTGCCAACATGTTCCCGGATCCGCTTGATAGCCGGACTCAGCCAAGTGCACCAGAAATGGAGACTGCTTTTTAAATTAAAGGCTTAGCAAAGCAACTTGCAAGTTGCGACCAAGAATTTGCAATTTGTTTCACGGTTTCACAGGCCGTCCGCAAGGGTGACCGGCTACCGGCTAGTTTCACACAGGTGATGGTCTTTTCCAGCATGACGAGCTTTGGAAAAAGCAGCACTTCTCAAAGCGAGTGCACGCGTAGCGAGTGCACGCGTACATGTACGCGGTTAAACATGTTCAATTTTGTTCCGTTTAAGCACATAATATATAGGTGTGTTTATTGCTGGTTTTTTGAGACATATTCTGAAAAGTATAAGCTGTCCTTCTTGTTCATGCATGAGTTCGTGCTTGAGCCAGGTCACTTCTGCATTGCCAGGAGCACCTGTTGCTTTGCTTCCAGCAGACACAGCTGTGAACTCCTTCACTCATTTGCTGGTGCCAGTGGCATGTTGTCATGGGGTTGCACAACACGCATTGTTTCAGAGGCCATTCCATATCATGCTGTTCTGCCAAAGTAGCCCCACGTACGGTCACATTCGTAGATTGCACTGACGAGTATTCGGGATATCTCCAGAAACTTCTGAAGCTCACAAGATAGCCTCCAAGTTGGGTACTACAGGATTCTGCGAGAATAGGCAGCATGCCCCAAACCACCCGGTCACCTCCCCAAATCTTGGAACATCCAAAGCACGACAGGCCTGAAATCCAGAGCACAAGCTTGACAGGTCTACACTGCTTCGGGTCTAGCGGAGCAAACAACGCCTGTGGCCGTCCTCTTGTCAGATGTGGTGGAGGCTTGAAGCTAGTGCCGAGACACCTGCTTGGTGGCATTAGGTCATTAGGATGGCATCATGACATATCATGACTATTGAATGCTTTTCGATGTTGGACAGTCCAGGTGGCTGGGAATTTATCGATCTTTGACTTGGACCTCGACCTGGGCGATTTGGGTGGTGAAATCAGCTGGACCATGCCTCAGGACAGAGCCTGGGATTGTTTGGGTTGAACAGTTTAGCTGAGTAAGATTGAAACATCTCAACAGGATTCATTATAGAATTGTCGCCTCACAAAATAGTTCTCACAACAATTGCAACAAACAAGTATCAGATTCGTAGGAGCAAGGACGCTACTAGGGGCTCCTGGCCTTACTACTAGGAACAAGAAGCTACTAGGGGCTCCTGGCCTTACT